CAAAGCAGACACTGGAGCAGGAGCTGAGAGCTTACATCTCATCTGAAAATTAGAGGCTGAAGGGTAATACTGAGCTTGGCATGGGTTTTTAAAAACTCAAAATCCATCCCTAGTGATACATCTCCTCCATAGTTCCTAACCCTTCCCAAAACAATACAACTAGAAACCAAACAGTTAAATATAGCACTCTGTGAAGGACATTCTCATTCAAACCACCACAATACTGTTCATTAAATTTTCTTTTAAAGAAAAATGTCTTTTATTTTTGATATTAATATAATTATATCATTCCCTTTCCCTTTCCTCCCTCCAAACCGTCCTTGTTCTTTCATGACCTCTTTTCTATTAATTGTTGTTACATATATATATATATACACATACATATGTGTATACACATATACACATAAAACATATATGTATGTGGGTATGTATATGTACATGTATGCATATACACACACATAACACTCTCTGTACAGTGTTGTTTGTATATATATTTTCAGGGCAGACCACGTGGTATTGAATGACTAATCTGTGTGCTCTTCCCTGGGGAAGACTTTCTCCCCGTCATATTGATATGACTTTACTTTGGTAAGCTTCTGATTTTCCTAGGAGACACAAACTCACAGAAAACTTCCTGATCCTCTGGCTCTTATAATGTTTTTTCCCCTTCTTTCACAATAATCCCTGAGCCTTAAATTTGGGAGGCGTATTATAGATGTTTCTGTTGGGACTGGCTTCCATAGCTCTGCATTTTGATTGGCTGTGGTTTACTGCATTGGTTTCCATATGTTGCAAAGAGAAATTTCCTTGATGAGGGATAAAGACTATTCTTATCTATAAGTATAAGGATAAATATTTAGAATGTAGTTAGGGATTATTTTTTTTCAATCACAGCACCCAAGATAACAGAGTATACAGAGTATAATTTTTCTTGCCTGGTGATCTGAATTTCCTGTTAGAAATATTGAAAGCAACTACTATATCTAAAAGTAAACTGATAAATGATTTCTTAGAAATTTTCTGTGTTCTATATACAAATGGCAAAGGTAGAGTGGTGGTCAGGATCATTTGGGCTGAGGATTAGTTGTCAGTTTAGGCTGGTACTCAGGTAAACTTACTAGAGGGTTTTGCACAATGATTTGGAGAGGTGGAAGTGATAGAAAAATGGATATTTACATTAAACAGTTTCTCCTGAATTTAAGGAACTGTAGCTTTTGAGTGAAGAAAGGATCCAGAAAGTGGGAAGAAGAGAGGTCACAGATGAATGTCTTAGTGAATGTCATTTTTTATAAGAAGGCATTATCAGAGAGTTTCTGCCAGCATAAAACAAATTTCTGCCAGTGGGAATATGGATATAGTTGCAATATTAGGATTTAATCAGTGTTCAGAGAGATGTATACATTTTCTCAGTGTTGAGACAAAAAGTTCACAAAAATGGCAATTGAAGAGAGATGTGTTTATTTGCAACGCACAACGCCTGTCTGTACTCTATGCGCTACCATACAGTTTGTGAGTTTCAAGCAAGGGGCTGGAGGTTGAAACACAGAGATACACACAGACAGAGAGACAGAGACACAGACCTCTAGTCACTGGTAAGAAGCCCTTTATTCAATAGCACCAAGGAGGCTTATACGCCCAACAGTCAGGTGGACCAACAGGTGAAAACCTTATCCTCTGATCCTCAAAGCAAGGCAACAGGTGCTCGTAAAGCAGAGCTGGTAAACAACTTTGACACAGCCTTTAGTAACTCAAATCAGAAGGAAAGTAAGGATCTCTAGCAGGGAAGAGCAGCTGGAGGCCAGGAGTACAAATGGTACCAACATTTATTTTTTTCCAAATGTTTGAGAACATACAGTTCACCATCATCAGGAAAGCATTTTAGCATGATATCAATTGCCAGTACATGCTAGTCCATCATGATGGTCTTCTCTTATGCATGATGCTCAAACCAGGAAAAATTTATGTCAAATTTGATATGAGATATTAGAACAATCAAGTTTGATCTTCCTCTTAATCACTGAGCCATCTATCCAGCCTGATTTTGGTCTTTCTGTTGCTACAAACTTACATTGGATAATTACAAACAAAACTTTTTTCTCTGTTACTTGAGACAGGAAGTCCAAAGCTATAGCACCAACAGAACTAGTGACCAGCAAAATTCTATCAGCATAGATGGTATCTTCTTGCAGTGTGATGTAGATTTAGAAGTAAAGGGTTGCCTAGCTTTTTGAAGGCCTTGGTTCAATTTCTAGCGCTGAAAGTAAATTATGTTATCCTTAAGATATATACAGGCAAAAATATTTTAGTTAGTTTCCTTAGACCATTGTACTGGACTCAGTGTATGCTTTCAATTACCCAACTGTTACTCCCATGAAGATTAATCTTCACAGCTGCTACCAATCCTTAGCAACTTTGCATTCAATTACATTCTTTTAAAATATAACGTTCTACTCTGAACTATTTCAGCTTACATTCATCTCTTATGCATTAAGTTCATCGCCATGAGCTCCACCCAGTCTTTAAATTACAAAACTATTCAGAAATGTCTTCTAATACTCAGTGTAAACTCTTAGCTATGATCTACCACAAATTCTAAAGAAACTTAATGTTTCCAATATATAAAGACACCAATAAACATTGCTGTTCCCAAAGCAAGGAACAGGAACCCCCCAAAATTGTCACTTCAGTATCAAAACTAGAATGACAAATACTAAATCCTGAGTCCTGTATCCAGGGTCAGAGCATGTGGTATCACGATATGAATTTCCTTGGTGTTGTTTCGGTTCTTGATATTTATAGACCACATGATCCCTCTCCTTGGTTGATTCCATTCATGTCCTGAAGATATTCTTGCCAGGTGCTTTACTTGTCTTGAATTTCAACTTCACTGGAATTAATTGCTGCTTAGACTTCACATTTACAACCTCACACAGTTAATCTCAGAGAAACTGACTCTCTTAACATTGTCTAAACTCCCAAGCTTCTAATTTAAATAAATATAGGTAATTTTTTCCATATCACCTTAATCCTTGCATTCTGCATGAAGGAAAAAATATTCGTCATAAAGAAAATACTGAGGTTTCTCTGAAGTTGATGAAGTAGCTGTCAATTTTGTGGACCCGTGTCTTCTAACTGCCTTTTTGATGGCTAGATTCTATTCTTTATATAGATCTCTATCAGCAGGATTCTTTGAGGATCTCTCCTCTCAATGGTGGTTCTTTGAAATAAGTTTACAGTTTTATATCTTGGAGGAAGTGATGTTGTAGTAAAACCAAACACCTAAATATCTCAGTGTTACTTTTTTTTTTTTTTTTTTTTTGATTTCGAGACAGGGTTTCTCCATAACTTTTTGGTTCCTGTCCTGGAACTAGCTCTTGTAGACCAGGCTTGGCCTAGAACTCACAGAGATCCACCTGCCTTTGCCTCCCGAGTGCTGGGATTAAAGGTGTGTGCCACCACCGCCTGGCTACTTTTCTTTTTGTCCCAGTGAAAAGCATGCATTTTTTTAAAGAGCCACACCATCTTTTACACAAATTCTAACTCATTATATTTTTAGTAAGACTACTTTTTAAATTCTCTTTTACTGATTTTTTTGTCTGATTCTTACTCTAAATTTGACAAGAAGTATCCAACAATAGATATGTCACAGCAATGATCAGAGGCAGTCTTGATATTTTTCAATATTTAATTTTTTATTCTAAATATATCACAAGAGAAAATATCACAAACCTTTGCCAGGGATAAATTTACCAGGGATATTCTCATAACCTAGCACTGTGTGAGGAAGACCCCAGAGTATCTTGAAGCTGGCTGGCTGCTGGCCTAACTCCAGTCCAAGGGAGAAACCCTGTCTCAGAGGAATATGGCAGAAAGTGATAGAAAAGGAAACCTAGCATTCTCCTATGCGCTCTAGTATATACACATGCATGTACTCAAACACATTTGTATAGACCCAATACACTCACACATACAAAGTAATTTAATAAATGTTTTCCTGACATAGAGTCCTACAAACTAGATTGGTACTATGGGTATATTTATAAACTTGCTCTATTTATATGGAGTTGAGAATTTTGACAAAGCCAATGTCTCATTTAGATAAGTGTGCTACACAATTAACTAGAAGGGCTCACAAAAACATGGAATGACTCAGCTCAAAAAGTTCTAGGATCACAAAATTAATTATTTTTCAACCACTACAAATATGAAGAATTCTCCAAGGGACACAGTAGACTTCCATTTTCAAAAACCTTTGCTTATGATCTCAATAATTGTATGTTTTCTATTGTTTGTTGGTAATATTGTTCCCTTTACCTATATATTCTATTACTTATATAAATTTGGAGATATCATGTCAGTTAAAGCTTAGTATATACCAGGCATAAACAACAAAAATGGACTCCTTGCACAGATATCAACTCCAGAGAAAGAGAGTAATGAAGGTTAGAAGGTATAGAAGGATAAAAGCACCTTTAAAATACTACTGTGAAGAAAATGAAAAGATTGAATAATCTGAGAGAAGAAATGGAATATGCTTTGGATAGAGTCATGGGGTAAAGCTTTACTAGGGTAATAATATATAGTGTTTATCTAAGATTAACAGTAAGTAAGAAATTAACCGACAAGGATGATGGTTTTGAGGGAGAAATAAAAGACACTGAGGGGAGAAAGGGCTTTCACGTCTTTAGGACAATATAGAAGCTCTGACTGCTCTGGTGTATAAGGAAGGAAAGTGGTGGACTGAATGTTTCAATGTTAGTTCTAACTGCAATATTAATTAGAAAAATCTTTTAAAAGGGCAAAGTGATTCCATGAAATGGTGGCAAGAAGGAACATGAATAAATTATAGATATTCTGTAATCAAAAGCAGTTTTCTAAATAAATATTCCAGTTGTTGACAGCAGAAAATGAACAGTAGCAGATTTATAAGTTCTTGAAGAAAATGTTCGTGGGCAGCACATGCACATTTGACATGATAGCTACATGATAGCACACAGAAACTACTGTCTCATCCACAGTTTCTTCATGGCATTTTTGACCTCTGAATTCCTCAGTGTGTAGATCAAGGGGTTCAACATGGGTGTGACAATTGACTCAGACACAATCATTGCCTTGTCAATGGGGTAGGTTGACACAGGTCATGGCACAAAGAACAACACAACTGTGAAGTGAGAACCGCACGTGGATAAGGCTTTCCGTCTTCCTTCAGAAGTGTGAGTCTTCAGAGAACACAGGATAGTCATGTAAGAGGCAATAAGAATAAGAAAGATGGCCACACACATCACCCCACTGTTGAAGATGACAATGAGACCCAGGGTATGGGTGTCCATACATGCCAGTATCAGTAACTGAAACAAATCACATAAAAAGTGATCTATGACATTGGGACCACAGAAAGGTATTTGATACATGAATAGAAGCTGAATGGTTGCATGTGCAAACCCCCCTACCCAAGCACCTCCCAAAAGAATGCAACACATCCGAGGACTCATGATGGTCATGTATTGCAGAGGTCTACAGATGGCCACATATCTGTCATAGGCCATCACAATGAGGATGATAATCCCCACATCTCCAAAAAAATGTGCTGCAAAAAGTTGGGTCATGCATCCTTCAAAAGAGATGATCGTCTTCTCAAAAAGGGAGTCCACAATCAGCTTTGGAGCAATGACAGAAGAAAAGGTGACATCCACTAAGGACAGAAATGTAAGGAAAAAGTACATTGGTGATCTCAGACTCTGACTTGTGATCATGGTCACTATGATGAGCACATTTCCCAGCACCATGACCACATACATGATTAGAAACACAGCAGAAAGCAGTTTCCGCAGCTCTGAGTTCTTTGTAAGACCCAAAAGAATGAACTCTGTCACATTGTTGTGATTTCCCATTTATCTTGCTTTAGGTGAGCTCCAAATAAATCTTGTAAATCCTAAAATAAATATAAATACATATGGTTTGTAATTAGTGGTTGTTTTTAATTTTGTATTTCTACCTATCAAGGGAACACACTTGCTTTTAATCATTTATTCTCCCTCCAAGCTTTTGTTGTTAGAATTCTACATTATAGTTGAACAAATGTTCTTGTAGTATGATAGAGCATCCTTTGGATATATGCCCAAGAGTGGTATTGCTGGGTCCTGAGGTTAGTTGATTCCCAGTTTTCTGTGAAATCATACTACTTATTTCCTGAGTGGTTGTAGCATTAATGAAGGAATATTACACTCAGTCCACATCTTCTCAGGTATAAGCTATCATTGGTGTTTTTGATCTTAGCCATTCTGACTGGTGTAAATGATATATCAGAGTCATTTTGATTTGCATTTCCCTGATGGCTAATGATGTTGAACATTTCCTTAAGTGTCTTTTGGCCATTTGAAATTCGTCTATTGAGAATTCTGTATCCCGTTTTTAAATTGAATTATTTGGAATTTTGGCATCTAATTTCGTGATTCTTTATATATTTTTAAGATCAGTCCTCTCTCTGATGTGGTGCTCTTAACTGCTAAGCAATCTCTCTAGCTCCAAGGTGACACTTAGAATGATTATTTTAATGAAGTTGTGTTGAAATAGGAGCGGCGGGGCTGCGTCCCCGGCACCTGGCCGCCCGCATGGCTAGAAATACCCAGAAATAATTACACGGAAACTGTATTCTTTCAAACACTGCCTGGCCCGGCTAGGTCCAGTTTCTTATTGGCTAGCTCTTACATATTGTTCTAACCCATTTCTAATATTCTGTGTAGCCCACGAGCTGGCTTACCAGGGAGGATCTTAACCTGCATCTGTCTGGAGTGGGAGCATCATGGCGACTCACTCACTCAGCTTCTTTTTCCCAGCATTCTCCTCTGTCTACTCCGCCTACCTAATTTTCTGTCCTATGAGGGCCGAGGCAGTTTCTTTATTATTAACCAATGAAATCAACAGATAA